AGGTGGATCCTTGAACCCCGCAGTATCGAGACTCGGAGGAATTGTGACATTTTTGCAATATTTTTTGAGTACCTCAGTACTGACTCAGTACTTTCAGGTCCTAAATTCTTTGTTTTTGAACCTAACTTAGTGCAACGTTTTGTTTATTTCTGCTATCTCCATGTGTCTTGCGCACAAGAAAGGTTCGGCATTGCCACAGCAAACCTCATCAACGGTGGCCTCTTCTACAAGGCAAGATTTTGGGCATCACTGGAGTGCTGAGCTCGCATCGGCTTTGTGATTATCCATAGAGGTTTGGCCGAATTCGCTGAAAGATCTTTGATGGCGATGCGATAGTGATGCTACTCCTAGTTTGATTGCTCTAGACTCTAGACAATACGAGCTGCAGACTGTGAATGTTCAAATCAACAATGTGCCGTAATTAAACGTGATGCAAACAGTCACAGGTCACCCCCGATTTGTGATGCGTCCAAGAAAGTGCTGTCATTTGTGCCCCTTGGACCGGACTGGATTCTTCAACCTGTTTTAGGACTGGCTCAGAGAACCACCTTCTTTGTTCGTCGAGCATATTTTTTGCAAGATTCTTCGTAGACTCCAAGCTTGAAGATGCTTATCATCACAGAAATATCCCACCACACCGTCAGCATCATGAGATCATCATTCTTCTTCACCACAATGACTCTGTATCCCAATCAATCGCAAAACTTCAACACCACTCGGGGAAACTTTTGACGTCAGTTTGTTTCTTATTCCCCAAACAGTTTACTGGGTTCTTTTTTAAGAAAAAGGAGTGGACGCCAAAGAATAATGCTGAAACTGTTGGGGGTCTATGTAGTTTTTCTCTTTCAAATTTGGAACATGGACACCTCCCAAGAAAAGGTACTCAACTCTACCCAGACTTGCTACAATTGACAACAGATTTTTGCCCTGCGTAGCGACCCCAACGCGTCGATATTGACTCATATTGACCCCCTGAAGGTGAAGAGACTGCCAGACATTGTCACTTCATCCAATGGTTTGGGGGGGCTGGGTCTGGGTCTTGACTCATAGCCACCTATCTTTTAGGGCATGGGATGTGGCCATCTCAGACCTGGCCCTTGTGACTTCCAAGACATTGAGCAGGAAGCTGAACACGCACACAGGCATTGCACATACCCTTTTTTTGGTGCATCATGACACATGCAACACTAGTTCTTTTCTGGAGAACTATTGGTTACTTACTTACTGAGCACTGGTGGTCCACCCTTCTATTGTGGGCAGGCTTTGATCTACACCCTGCTCGAACTTCTTGGTGGTGTTGCTGCTGCCGGAGTTTTCAAGATCACTCATGAGGCGAACATTTTCAGAGTTGTGAGAGTATTTTTTTCACATACTTGCGTTGTTTCAAACCTCCAAGCAATTGGTATGGGTTATTAAATGCCCCTTTATATGATTCTATTTGTTTCCGCCTGCCCCGACTCTGGCCTCTTTTCTGGAAACTATCTTTGGGAACTATCCAGGATTAGCGTGGGTTTGTTCTGAGGTCGAAACAGCTTTGCCAGAGAGCAAAGACGTGGATGCCTGAGGGTCTCAAGATCTGATGCGAACCTGATCAGCAGACCCGAAGCCGATCGGCCTAGCGGTTTAGATTCGAAGACGTCAAAGCAGTGACACCGCCGCGTCAGATAGAACGATGCGCCTGGTCAGTGAATCCAATGCTTAACAGCTTAACACAGGTGACTGTTGAGGAACCAAGCAAAGGCATTTTTTAAATGTTTTCGTAGGTTACACGACTGCTTATTTGAACTGCTGGCTTTGCTGCAGCCATTGTGAGCTTTTCTGCCCTCATTGAAGACCTTCGACGTTGCGCGCAAGCCTCAGTTGTCTTCCCTCTTTTTGGACTCCTTGGGGGTCCTGGGGTCCTTAAAGGTTTGTGTGGCCCACAAACATAAGAGCCACAACACTTTCTTTGACTCAGAAGAAATGCAGAAATACAAAGGCCAAACATCAGCAAGAGTTTTGTGCTTTCGTTATGGAGTGACTGAAGCAACACAACCATTATTCTATTCTCAATTTGCAGATGAGAAGGACAAAAGGATCAACTGACGTTCCTCACAAGCTACTCAGCTTGCGAAGGATACATGTCTCAATACTGCATCAGCAATGATTCCAAGAATTTGCCACGCTGCACTGGCGATGACCTGCACCAGCTAAATGGTTCGAAGTTCGAATCCAAAAAAGTACATGGCAAGCCAATCCTACGTTTCAACCACTTGAATATTTCAACTCCATAGGCAAATGCCGAGAACACGCAAGGAATTCATGAAGGTGAACAAAGCACCGTTGACGAGAATTGGATTGTAAGAAAAACACTGTTGTTTTGTGGAACATTTCCCTCTTGATAGCTCAGTCTCACTCTCTCAGACATCAAGAAGGCCACTCAAACTTGAGGAAAGGCAGATTGTCGTTGTTTAAGCAAAAATCTTTAAGAAACGCATTTGGTACTTTTGGGATTGACGATTTGAAGAGGTTGTATGTACTTTCTGAAATCCTTCAGAATCAAACTTACTGCTACCCCGGGCTGCTACCCCCACCAATTATAAATTATAATGACAGAGGTAAACCATCTCCCGATTACCGCCCAAAGCCATAGCGATCGCGGAGCCTGTTTGCAACTGCTTTTGACTAGAACAACAATTTTCGGCCATCGCACCTGTTTGAATCGGCAGTCACGCTTTTGACTTTGGAGCTTTGCGACTTGGAACTTTGGATGTGAAGACTTTTAGGTTTATGGTCATACCGTCTTACACACCTTTAACCTGACTTCTTAGGCTTTCATACCTAGGTGGGCGTGTGGCATGTGGCATTCAGTTCCGTACGCAATATCTACTAACAAGCAGGGGGGTGGAGAGGACCTGTGAGGCTCCATCCAACGAAGCTCCTCATACGTTCCTAGGATATCATGAGGGACGCCTGACGATGTACCTCCTTCAACAATGCCTTTTCATGTCCCATTCAGCCCCTTTTTAACTACAACAAGATTGCCAGCTTTTGCGCCTGTTTTGAGTTCTGCAGACAAATGCTCGCCGCTCGTGTTCTCGTTGGCCTCTTTGAGTTCATGGCGTTGGAATTTGAGGGCTTTTCAGGTTCATGGCCAAGACGTCTTACATACTTCGACCCTGACTTCTTAGGCCTTTTACCTAGGTGGGCGTGTGGCAAGTGGCTTTCAATTCAGTGCGCATGTCCCGAGTGTGTGTGGGTGGGTGGGTGGGTGGAAAAGGCGGCCCAAGAGAATGTTTCACTTGAAAAGACGTTTCACCGTTTCGGGTCGTTGGATAGGGATTCCCAACGCGCTGTCCTTCGTTGTCTTGTTTTGTTTGGATGCTCCACCCGTGGATGACTCACCATCGAGCCAGGCCTAGAGCGATGTCCGAGCCAAGCCTGACGGCCAAGT